GGGCGAAATATATGATGTATAGATAAGTGCATTAACACGCATATACATATGCAGGAACGAAAAAAAAATTTATTGGTTCGTTTCCTTCGATCAATCAGTGATCGAACCGAGAAAACAATTGTATTCTTGTTAAGTTGATATCATTTTTATATGTATTGCCTCTTAAAATTTATTTGGTTTTTATTAATTTGCTTTATAGATTTGTTCATGTTAATTTAGCAGTTAAATTTTCATGGGATATTATTTTATTATCTATTTTAGTTAAGCTTTTTTTATAAAAAAATTTCGTACCTATGTTTTGGTGCATAGAGTATGTGACTTCTTTCATTGCATGATTCGAATTCGTAGTTTTATCGTAATACTTTGCTTTGTATTTTCAGTGTACGGATATTTATGAATATCAATCAAATTGATTCATCATGAAGGTAAAGCCAATGATGAATTTCGTTTTTTTAATTTATGATTTGTCTTGTTTAAGGGTTTACAGAGTTTAATGAAGAATTATAAGATCAATATTTTATTTTTTAATTTATTACCTTATTTGAAAATATTAGTTCATTCAAATTTGAATACACATAGTGTTTGTTAACATTGTTATCTTTCGTGTTGTTATTTCTGATTTTAATAATTAATAAATATTTATCTAATGAAACGCATATTTTTAAGACAATTTTATAATAAAATTTAGAAGGACGAACAGTCTTCTTATCAGGAATAATGATAAAAACATTGTATTTAAAAAAAAAGATATTCTCAAGTGTTTTTTATTCTTTCTGATGAAGGAGCGATTGATGAGACAACTATGTAGGGAGAACAGTTTTTACATTCAAAGTATTTTTGAACCTTATTAAAACATGGAAGATAATATCACTACTTTAAAATTGTGTGATAAAAGTTGAAAATGTTGCGATAAATAATAATGAATGTTATAGAGAAAGGAATTACAATAATTAGTAAACGAAATAATAAAGCAACTAAATTATTCATCGTATTTTTTTTAATATGAACACTGCTTAGCTATGAAGGCAATGTTAAATATGCAAGTGCTGCATCTCATATTCGGTTTCAGTTCACTTGTTTCATTTACTATCTGTTTGGTGCTTATATCTCTGTATAGTTGTCTTATATTCATTAAAATTTTCCCTGAGATATAGCGCTTTGAATTGAAAAGATTAGATTGAAAGCTTTGATAATCTACTTATGACAACCAAAGGCAATAATAATAAAAATCTTTTATATAGTTTTCACACCGATTCTGAAGGCATTGTATCGAATCTAATTCTATCTAGTGTGTTGAAGATATGCCTAACTGATGACATCGATAGATTGACAAAAGATGAAGAAGTTATATATCTGATTTATCGCGCGCAAAATCAAATGATGGATTGTATGATTGCATCTATTATATGATTCGTCCATCTAATTTTTTTTCTCTGCAGTAGGAGAAGTATATTAATCTGTCTCTCTTTAAGTTGTGTCTTCATTTAAAACAAATACAAATCGTTTAAAGCAATATTCACTACTATATATTTTTTGTCGAAAAATTTCTAGCGAAAATAATCTCTCTTTGATTATTCAAAAATGGCCGAGTCAAACGTAGATGATACCGGTAAGGATATTTGGTCATTAATTTCTCTAGATAAATTGGCCACTGCCATTTCTTCTCTTGGTGAGCGTATTGATCAACTCAAAGATGATTCATGGCGCTTAAGCGAGAAAACTAAATCTTCTAGCTCATGCTGGAGCGAAGTTATTAATGGATTGAAACTTGATGATAACGAAAAAAATCGCCACACTTTATACAAAGTGTGGCATGGTAATCGGCATAAAATACATGCTCTTGTTGACGAGAAGAAGAGCGAAATTAAGATTAATAAAATAAAAGAACAGGAAGGTTATGAGAGTAACTCAACATGTAATAATTCTGTTAGCGAGAAGGTGATTGCACCTTTACATTCTGAACCATCGTTACCTCTACCTGAACCACGCAATACACGCACATATCAGAAAGCAATAACAAGTGGTAATTTCTATGAACGTCATTGTATTAAAACGGAATTTATTTCTCTTACTCGTATTGAATGGAAAGATACATATAGTCGTACTCATAAGAAAACGATGCCTGGTTGGACCAGAATTTTTAATGAGAAATTGAGGTCTATTGGTAACACATGCTCATTACGTTTTCATTCTGCTTGCATACCAAGCGGTGTAAGAAAACATAACTGTTCTGATTTTTGGTTCAGTACAGCTTGTACTGGCGATAAATGTCAGAGAAAATATATCGTGAGTCATAGAAGAGATATGGATAATAACTTAATGCTTCTATTTCGTGTGGACACCTATGGCGAAGAAAATCACAGTGAAGACAATATAATGCGACCACGTAAAATAAGTGGGGGAGAACGTCTAGCTCTTGGTAAGATGTTTTGATGTGAAAGTGATACCCTTGAGTTAATATGATATTTGTGTTTTAGGAAAACGAGCGAATGAAATTGGTCCATCAGCAACATTTCGTGAATTGGTGGAAGCTGCTGATGAAGATATGCTCGTAGCAGGTAATTTCACACAATGCCCGACGATTGAAGCAATAAAGAAATTTGGAGTGGATTATCGAAAGAAGATGCGTTTTGATGAAGATGTATTCAGAGAATGTCGAATTCTAAGTTGCTTTTATCGCAAAGACGATATTACATCTGAAAACATTTTAGATAAGTCAGATTTTTCAAACAAAAAGAGTCTGCTCAGAAGGTTTGATTCTTGCTTTTTATAGGATATATTCACAACTTGGGAGAAATGCCATTTCGATCACATCTGTTTACTGAATCACAACTTCGGCGATACATAAGGTATATTGAGAACAAAAGATATTCTTTTATTCATATAGATTCGACTGGTGGAGTATTAAAGCCAATGAAAGAGCAAAATGATATATACATTTATACAATAATGTTCAAAGATGGGATTGATGCATTGGATAATGTTCCACTAGCGCACGCTATTTTAACAGATCACACAGTTCCGGGCATTGGTTACTTTCTTGGCAATGTAATTCATAGCGTCAATCAAGTGACAACAAAGAAAAAACTACGTCCTCCTTCATTTATCATCATTGATTTTTCTGCTGCTCTTATGAACGCCGCTCTTCAGCAATTCAATATTGAAACTGTTAACAAACATCTCAAACGATGCTGGAATGTTATACATCGCAAATATAGTGCTGAAAATATTCGATCATTATCTTATATTCATTTATGCTGTTGCCATGTTATGCATGGCATTGCAAGAAGTCTGAATGCTGAAAAATTTGAAAAAAAAACACGAGAAGCTGTGTTATATATATTCGCTTATATGTTATGTAGCGATGATATCAATCAATTATATGACACATTAGGATTAGTGATTAATATATTCGGCGATCCAAACGAACAGAACGCAAAAGAGAAGCTTGATAAAATATGCTCTCTTAAATTGAACGTTGATGAAGAAAGTGAGTCAGTTTTAAAAGACTTTGATAAAAGTTTTAGAACAGCTGAAGTGAACGAAGAAGAATTAAAGCTTGTGGATGAATATTTTGAATCAGATGAACCAATTATTCACCAGTCGCCATTTAATAAAGAGGCTATTAAACGCTATCCATTGCTGAATGAGATAGTAATAAAAAAAAAGATAAAAAGCAGTAATAATAATGCATTGTTTTCTGCATCGATAATGCGTATATTCTATCGATGGTGAGCATATTTGCCACTATGGACAGGTTTGCTATTCGATTTCGAAGAACGATACGCCAATGACATACAGCAGAATCCATCGGTAGTATACTATCCCATCAGATACTCCAATGCGGTTATTGAAAGTTATTTCCGCACATTTAAAAAAAGTATCTGCCAAGGGAAGAGGGGTAAACCACCTCAAGAAGTTATAATGGCATTACATAGAAGCGTGAAAGTACAATCAAAGGCTGATCAATTTGGATTAACACAAAGTTCAAAGGGAAGAAAAAGAAAAAAGACCGGCGTAGGTATAGTCGAAAAATATAAGAAGAGAACATACGACAAAATACGTCGAGGCAAATACACAAATCTAATCGACAAATTCGCATCGAAACGTGCACGACAAAAAGAGGATCAATCTCAACCAGATAGCGTGACGAAAAAATACAGGTAAATTCTTCTGAACTCTAATCTATCAGATTATATCTTTGTATTTAGTGAATCGAACAATTCTGAGACCAATTCTTCGTCAAATAAATCGGAATCATCTTCGAAAACTCTCAGTGAGAAAATCTCAATCAAGTAAGAGAAACATTATTCTTATACCAAACAGTATATACGTTTAATTTAGTCAATCATCTCGTTCCAGCATAAGAGATTCATTATCATCATCTGAAGCGGCTGCGCAGGTAAGTGATGAATATTCTAATCCTATTCCATTCAATTTAGATGTGTCGGCGAACATTAATCATCAACAAAATGAAATTTCAATTGAAAACAGTTTGAATACAAATTCATCTTTTATAGTGCCAAACAATTTGAATATTGTTAATGAACGTATGTAGTAATACAAGCTAATTTATGTGTTAGAATAGAACATATTCTAATTGTAGAATACAAAGTAACAACTCATCAATTATCAAATGATATGTCTATCAAAATTCCATCCAATTCAGAAATAACAATTNGTGTAATATTTTGAAAACAACTGGTCGACTAACGAGAGATCTGTTTGGTTCTGTCGACGAGCTCGTATTTTCTTTTCTTAAGAGTCGACAACGACACTCAAATGAAATTATCTGTTCACGTTCTGATTGCACCAAAAAAGAACGCAAGTGTACATCAACTGACTTGGATATTTTGTAAGCATAAATTCACTAATAAAACTTTTTCATAATTTATTTTTTTCTAGTTCTACCGATGAAAACATTGATAAATTTGAGATTGAAACTGAGGGTGTATGTCCAATAATGGTGAAGCGCAGAGAAGAAATAAGTGAAGCTGGAGCGCTTCAAAAGAAATACAGAGATGGTAGCGTACCCTTTTTCAATTGCGAAACAAACAAAAACGAATATGAGTATGTTGACTCTCTTCTTTTGAAAGTGTTAATTGTTTTCTTCTTTCAAGGCGTGGCTGGATATGTAACTCTACAAATATTCACACATCAGCTACATTTGATTATGGCCATCCTCCCATAATCATTGTAAATATTAAGCTATTTTCAAAAAGAATAGATGAAGGCTATGAACCAAATCCAGTTCGACTTCGCGGTCTTAAAGACACCATTAGAATCTGTTCTATTAAGTATGTATTGAAAATACTTTTCATTCTTTATATATCTTCTATTTTGCTAATTGTCACCTTTTTGTGATAGATATAAGCTGCGTGCCGTGATTAATCATCGAGATGTGCACTTTACCGCTACTCTAATTGGTCCTGACAAAGAATTGTATATATATGATGATCGACAAGGAGTTCGACCTACTCGCACTTCAACAGAGCGCGTCGAAATAGCTGTGTACACGCAAATCTATGAATATTAGTGTTATGTTTTAAAATTTGTTCTCCGGTTTTGTTTAAATAATCAATTATTTTTTTTGTAATGATCATTTCAGCTCTATCTATACATATGAATAAAATAGAGACGTCGATCACAGGTGTAGAGCTAACAGCTTATCACGCATGCTTATTTTTATCATTCATTTTGTCTTGACACATAACTTCCTGTTTGATGGGAGAGAACAGGAAAGGAAAAAGAACGGAAGCGAAAGAAGAAGAACGACTACGTACATTGAACGAACAGAACAGCAAAAAAGAGTTAATTGACTAAAATGAAAGGTAAAAGGACGAACAATGAATGGCTCTGTCTTCTTTGCATATTCTTTGAACTCTTTGATATTATTAGGAAAAAAAAATAACATAACTTAAATAGAACAATAATTGTAAACCAATTACGCAATCTGTACCACAAGCATGTATAAGTTATCTATATATATATATGGGATGAAAATGATGAACATTATCATTCACTTTTACTGTAATCAATATGCTCTTTTTCCTCGTTGTTTGTGTTCTTCTCGTTTGTGTTAACTCTGCTCCAGTAAGTAACTCATGTGAAAATCAGGAAATACTTAATTACTTAATTGACATTTGTATATAGGAGTATAACAGCCTTACTGATTTAATCAGCAAGGAGTACTATTTAAAAAATACAACCACTACCACTATCGCCACCATCACCATCACCACCATCACTTACACTACAAATGAAATAGAACAAACTAAAAGAGTAGCAGATAGTATCAACAAAAGTACGGTGAAAATGGAGATGCTTTTGCCACCAATACTTGTTTTTATTTGCACGTTTTTAACCATCTTATGTCGCTTTTTAAAAAAATTTTACATGAATAATAATCAATGCAAGGTGAGAATCAAGAAATATGGATTTCTTCATTTAATTAACATACATTCTTATTTTTCAGGCTGCGTGGTTCTTTTGTAAAACACCTTCTGAATATAGACGTCGTCGAGAAGCAGTGCAACGTAAGTGGCTACTATATTTTTTCAATACGATAAATTTTGTTTTAATTCTAGGAAGGGAAATAGCCTTAAATCAGCTTATCCAACAGTCGACCCCCACCATTTATTCCATCGCTTAAGTTGTTTCTTTTTTCTTTCTTTTTTTCTTTTCATTGGCTGCTCATTGATCTTTTCTTATTTCTTATTTATTTGTGAAATATTTTCATAATAAATTTTGTCAATTGTATTTTTGTCTTCTTACCTAATGGAATTGAATTGGGATGTCATGCTAAGCACACAAGCTAGATAAACATTACAAGGAAATCAAAATATATGCCGATAACTGATCATACGCATGAATAGTTTCTAATAAAAACGCTCAATCCTAACTAGGGGTGGGCCATTAACATTAATTTTACATTAATGTTAATGTTTCTCATTAACCATTGATATGAATGCTTAATGTTTTCTGAGAAAAACTTAATTCATTAATATTAATGATTAATGAAAAACATTAACATTAATTTTAAAATTAATGTTTTTCCCTCTACTGAAAGGAGGGTATTACGCAAAACGAGTTAAATGCGTTCGTTCGTAAGTTCGTAAATTCGTAAGTTCGTAAGTTCGTTCGTCCAATAGGAAAGCAGATGCATAAACTTCACTAACCTCAAACAATATCTGTAGAGAGAGGTTTCACCGAAGGTAATCGGGGTCGGGGAACACGATGGTGTTATCAGATTTTTGAAATTTCGCTTTTTGGTTTTTTAGGAGAGAGAAAGAGAGACTTTTTTTAGGAAAAAAATAGTTTTTTATAAGGGTTGACCGAAGGTAATCGGGGTCGGAGAACACGATGGCGTTGCCAGTTTGTTGAAATTTTGTACTTCAAACAGGTTTATAATGGATTACGAGCTGTTTAGATCGTCGCATTTTCTTGATAGAAATGCTTTGTAGGGAAATTTCTTGAGGATACCATTCGATGATGTTTATAGTGTTAGATGTATCGTATGGTTATGTGAGATATTATTACGAATAGGCTATAGGCATCGTGCGGTTGAATTGATTCTCAATTTGGGAGCAGCAAGCCGTGAGTGGCGCTCCGGAGGGGCGCCGACGAACGACTAGCCGCTCACCTGCACTGAGAGTTTGAAAGCTTTTTTCAAAATCTTCAGTTTATTCTTGACATGTCAACTTTCATTGCAGCACGAAGAATTTATTCAAACTTAACTCCTAGAATTCTAGATTAGCGCATCTACGAACGGAAGCAAACTGATAAGTACTCGGGAATCATGTCTCATTCTTCTCTAAATTGTGATGAATTTATCGCACATGTAGATGTAACTGAATTGAATTAATCCCACAACTGTTGTTTTCGTTTTTCTTTGAAAATTCTCTTCGTTTTATCTAATAATTGTAGATTAAGGTAAACCTTTTCAATCAATAATGTAGTGTTTAAAAGGATCACGTTCACCGCATATATGAGACAAAACAAGTGGGGGCGGCTAGTCGTGAGTGGCGCCCCTCTGGGGAGCCGACGAGTGAATAGCCGCCCCCACTAGTTGAAAATCTGTTTTTATTTAGGACTGCTTGCCTTGCAGACTTATAGAACAGTTACACGTTGTCTCGATCAGAAAAGTTGAAACAACTTTCGAAAATAGGACATATTTTGAATTTCTTCCGACGACAGGTCGTGAAATAATTGCTCAGCTCATGTGAAATATTTGAAATTCATATTTGTCGTGATTATCTTAATAAGTTTAGTTTTTCCCGATTGCGAGTGGGTTTGATTCAAAAGATGT